CGCCAAGATAAAATGAGATGATAGGGAAGGAGTAGTAGTACTTGCATGTACAAATTCAAGATAATATAATAGCAAATTTGGGGGGAGATAAAAATTATAGTGTTTCCCTACTCAGAGAAATAGAAAACATGTTCACTTTTGCAAATCCCCACAGGAGCCAGGCTGGCATATATAAACAAACAAAGTAGTCTTGGGATAGAATAATAGAGAGCGGAGGAGATGGAATCAAATTAGAATGTGTAGGCCCCACATAAAGACAGCAGCTGACACAGTGCCACCAGATTATTGCTTCAAAAAAAAAATGAAAAGCTAATACTGTCAAAATTTCCAATTTTTTTTTTTCAAGAAAACCCCCAAATCTGGATAGGTGTGTGAAATTTCCTGAAGTGGATAAAAAATATATTCAACCTATAGGGCACTACTTTACTCTTTCTGATCCAAAATAAAGTCTGAGTTATCAAGAAGTAAATAAAAAAATGGCCAAGAAGAATTAAGAACATGGCTGATGTTAAACAGTATAAATATGGAGCAATATGTTATGCCACTACAGAACTGATTAAATGTTGAGGACTAGTTCAGCAAATGATAAAGGTACCAAGAACCAAAGGAAGCAGCACTTAGACATGAAGTATAAAAGAGAGAGAAAGGCTGTCTAGGGTAAAAGCAAAAGATTTTAGGAAGGGAAAGTGCAAGGGTTTGAATGCATGGAAGTCCATATCAAAGTCAAAATAACGTAAGAGCTGGAAGCAACAGACAATTCAGTGGAAACTGACACTATTACACTAAAAGAAATGTAGAATTTTGATATGAAAATTATATTTTCATTTATTTTATTCAAAATGTGAACTGTAAAGACACTTTTACAAGACCTTTTAATCCGACAATGTTTAAGAATAGATAATGATGGTTATCTTAAATAGCCTTAGATATTCAAGACAGATAATGGAAAGGAAATATTTTGCCTTGAAAATACCCCACAACTGAGGGTAAGAAGGAAGCACACAGTCCCATTCTGTTCTTTGCCCCTTTGTTGAGTTTGCCAAAAACACTTGGAGTATACTCTTAATACTACAGTTAAGACAGAAGACAGACACCTGGCCACATAAAACTATCTGGACCAATCCACATTCATACATGCTAAAGAGCAGACAGCAGGTTAATAAATTAATAATCACTGTACCAGTCTGGCCTGCATTTAAAACTGACCTAAATGATATAACATTTCAATTTCCTTTCTTATGCAGGCACTTCAGCTGTCCTTCAATCAGGTTCAAGCACATTCTAGATAGGTAAGTAGTATTATTCACTCCTTCAAATGATAATCATTTAGCACTTACGATATGCAAAGTGCTGTTCAAAGTGCTATGGTAAGCATAAAATATTAATCAGTCATGAATAATGTCACGAAGAAACATATGCCTAATAGGGGAGATTACTGAACACGTATGCATAAATAATTACAAAAGAAGTTAAAAATCTAAAGAGATACCAGTGAAGAACTATAAAATGTTCAAGAGGGAGATAAAAAGATTAGAAAGAAAATTTCACCATTCAAGGATTCTTTTTTTTTTTTCTTTGCGGTACGCGGGCCTCTCACTGTTGTGGCCTCTCCCGTTGTGGAGCACAGGCTCCGGACGCGCAGGCTCTGCGGCCATGGCTCACGGGCCCCGCCGCTCCGCGGCATGTGGGACCTTCCCGGACCGGGGCACGAACCCGTGTCCCCTGCATCGGCAGGCGGACTCTCAACCACTGCGCCACCAGGGAAGCCCAAGGATTCTTATTCAACGTAAAAACAAAGGTCACAGTCCAGTCTTCCAACTCTCAATCCTTTTCTAACAAGCCATTGTTGTCTTTCACCACTTCTCACATGACTTTTCTACTAAACTATCAAAGTTTAGAGTCATTCATCATCATGATTTTATTCCATTTACACTTAATTTGTGGTACCACTGAAGGTGTTTAATTAATTCCTATCAACATTACACAGAACAAAATCTTTTTACTCGACTCAGAAAAATTGACATCACACACAGAATTGACTCACACCTGGCGTTGCAGATTGTTAACCAGAAATAAAAGAGAATGATATCCACTAGGAACAAAGCTTTGTACTTCCATTCCACATCCATCTAACTCTCCAAAAAAGACCCCTGGGGGTTCAAGGACCGTGATAGTAAAGTTCAGAAAGAAGTTTCTGGTTGAAAAGATAACCATCTTCAGTTGTGCTTCTAAACTAATCACAGGATCTAAAACCACTAGCCCCTCCCTCATTCCATAACTTAGGTGCCTTGAGCCTTCTGTCAAAAACAACTGGAATTTGTTTTACAGTTAGAGGACTACTAGGAAACTCTACCTCTAACATTAACTCTAGAAAAGACAATTCAACACAAAAGGCAAAGTTTTGCAATAAGAGCCTGAAGCTGGAGGCGGAATGAAAGAAATCAGCATTTGGTTCTCAAAACAAGTAAAAATGTAATTGTCATCAACTTAGTTCCACCAACAGAAACAGATAAAATATATATATTCTAAATGTAGTAACAATAGCTTTTCACTTTAACCAGCGAAGAAAAATGGAAACAAAAATAAGAAATTAATGTGTCTTCATTCATCATTCTCTTCAACAGATGATCTAATTCCATTCATGTTAGAATGTTCATGTGCTGCATCTACAGCAAGTCTCTATATATTGATACCCGAAGTATCAATATTATTTCTTTTTATAGAAATAAGATAAATATTAGCGTAAGAACTTAAAGCTCCATGAAGACAGGGTATTTTGTCTGTTCGGTTCACTGATTTATCCACATCTGAGTTCCACGTAACACACAGACAGTTCTCAATAAATATCTCCAGCTGAACTGTGCTTAAAGCACAAAAGGCTCTCAATAAACATTTGCTGTAAGAATGAATGAATGGACGTCAGAAGAAATTTCTTGACAACTAAATCTCAGAATCAACAGACTATACTCTACCACGTCAGAAGAAAAAGAAGTAGCAATATTTAACATGAAGTTTAAGATTAACATGAAGTTCCTTTCAGTCTTTAATTATCGTGAAGAAAATGTGATTTCTGAAAACTGGTAATTAACAAGTTACCACTTAGCTATGTGACTTCATGTAAGAAGTTAGCTTGCAGCACTACATACTGTATCTAGTATCATTAAGGGTAAAAAAAAATAAGGATAAAAAATTAGGAAGTAAAACTGAAGAAAAGCAGATAAAAAGCATTAATTACTGAATCACTCTGAAATTTCCCCAACTTTGTGGATCTGTGAAGAACTAAGATTTACCTTTATCAATTTTCTATTTCTATTAAATTGTTTCACACATGAATATATGAAGCCATCAATATTATCAAGTTAGATGTTAAGAAAGTAACAATACACAAACTGGTTTGGGAGGTTGTTTTTGTCAAAAATGAAAAAAAAATACTTTTCTTTGTTTATATTTCATCTCCCATCATGTTATAATTACCTCCAGCTCTGTCTCCCTCAAAATATTGCAACTCTTTGAAAATCATTATCTTTTGCTCCATTGTCTACTTGTTGAATTACATCTAACCCTGCCTAAATAACATTCCTACCAAAAATACATTCCTATCAAAATTCTCTAAAGGACTTATCTAACAAGTCAATCAGTCACTAATAAAACCCACAATGAAATTTTAAATATTTGTCCAAAAGCAGAGGCCTAGATCATCTAATGCCATAGACTATGTAAAAATATTTCTTTTTAACTTTTAATTGTGTTCTCATGTCTGCATTCGACTGTGGTTATTTTACTGCTTCGCAGTCTTGAAGGAAATGTAGCTCTGTGAATTATCAGAAACAGCTTTTCCAATATCAAAGTTACCTAATTTATTTAATGATTCGTTACTTTAATGAAAAAGAAAGTGACCCAAGTTTTTGAAAGATCCAGTGGAAGATTAATAAAAGCACCAACATGGTCCAAGTGGAAAGACTAGGCTTTCCCTAACCAAGTACAGACTGGGAATACAAAGTGATTAGCTCCTTCTGTCAATCAGAAAATCAAAATTAATAAAAATCAATTTACACACAGCTCTATTTGCTTCTTATTCCCCTTCAATGAGTAACTAAAATTCACACAGGAAAAAAAATTACAGAAAATCCATCTGAGTAGAAGGATCTTTTTCAAGAAAATCTCTGATACTATAGAGAAAGATTTGCTTAGAATCAGAATATATCAAAAATATACAGTTATCAGACTTGATTTTAAATATTTAAAGGCATTAGAAATTTACATAGCTAATTCCAATAAGACAAATTGCATAATTACATAATTTAGTTAGACTAAGTTCAACTTAGACTATAAGCTCTTTGAAACATTTTCTAAGGTGTCAGTAAATGCAGTTTATGAAATTACTTATAAGAAATGAAAACTCAGCTCTTCAACTAGTGATAGTATCTCCAGAAAAAGCAGTAAGTCAAGAGGAAAAGAGCTATTTATGTACAGAGACTTAAGTCTCTTAAAAGTTAAGGTTAATATTAAAGACTGCATTATTGATTCCATACACAGTGATTCCATATTGAACACTGTCCATCAAACCTGGCATCTCATACTTGTGATACAGGTATTGCCTAACCTATTCCCTCATTAATTTAAGAATGATATAACAATTCTAACTCTGATTTTGATGGCTCACAGCAGAAGATAACAGATTTGCCCAGAGTTTTACTGGACGGCACTTACACATTAAAAAGTCTGCAAGAATACCACACCTCTCAAATTAAGTTTCTTCAGTGCTTCACATTCTGTTATTAAACAAGTAAAAGATATACTTTTAATCCATGTCCTTACAATACAAAGCTTGAATTTTATTTCCTTCAACAAAGTAAACAGGTGTATTCATAACCACAGATCATCCCCAAATATACAGCGGTAGTAAAAGCACTGGCAAAGTTAAGAAACAAACACAAAAAAACTAAAAAAACTTTAATTTTTGCACAGAAACCAGAACACCATGACATACTTATTGTTACCTTTTAAATGCTTCAGCTGGGTTTCTCTCACATTCCCCGGGCTGTAGGAGGCTTTGAACTGCTGGATCCCTTAGCTTGTCCTCATATCCTTGGAGAAGTCCACTGCGGCAGATCTGGGCAACCAGACCTCTAATAAACCCTCCAACACACAAAGTGTCAGAGTCCTGGGCTTTACAGAAATGAAAGGCCAAAGCCTGGCGATGTAAACCTCTCTGCAAGCTTGTAGGTGAACTTGGCCACAAGAGCTCAGTGCATAAGGCTGTCTTGCCACTGCCAGGCCCTCCTACCAATAACACACCCCAGGCAGCTCCTTTTCCAGAGACAACACTAGCATTATTCCCAGAATTCACTACAAGGGGTGGTGTGTTGACAGCACTGTTGCAGCAGTTAGTTTTCTCCTGGAGGCAATGCTGAAGCTTGTGGAAAACCCACTCCCTACAGTAAAACTGCTTCCCCTGCAGTAAACTCGTTTGAGCCATTTTGCAGACTTTCTCTTCCCAAGGATTAGTCATAATAGGTTTCTTAGCATCAACATTTGCTAGAATCTGGGTACATCAACACAGGTCTTTACATCCATTAGGACGTAACTTGCATATTAAGTTGACTTTGAATGACAGAGTAACCAGTTACAGTAAAATTCAACAGCCACATAGTCCATCTGCCAACAGAATGTGCATGACTTTATTTGGCTCTTTATTCCTGATCATCAGCAGAGAATATATTAGTTTATATGAATTGTTGAACTGATGGAAAACTGCCTGGTTCCAAACCTTGGCCAACACTTTTCCTATATCTTGATGGGTCGCAAAACTCCATGGTTACATCTGGAGTTTATGTGATTGTGGATGTTTCAAGTATGCAGATGAGACAATACATCTGTAAAACTGAAGAGAAAGCCCAGTCTTTCAACTTGTACAAAATGCTTTTCCAGATCGCAAGCGTTAAGTCTGTATCTGAAAATTAGATGCAGAAAAGGTGTCCATTATAGTAAATGCTACCAAAGAGATTACATTTATACAGTAGATTGTTAGTGCTCTACTCCTTGTTGAAGGATAGTCACTCAAAGTACTAGATCCTGCCAGTTTTAAGTATATGGGCAACTGCCAGGGAGGGAACTGTTTCAGATTACTGTCTCTTATGTGGCAAAAATGGCAAACCACTGTTAACACCTCCTTAATTCAAAGCATTCATAAAATGCATTTTTCAAGATAGATTCTTAATGAGCCTGTTCACAGGCTTCTCGGTTTAAGATGTCCAGGTAATCAATAATTCCCACCAGTAACTAAAATAAAACAAAAATATCTCAGTGCAAAATATCACATGCTAAAAGCTTACTTATCAAAGAATACAATTTACCAGTTACAGTAATCTCAAAAATCCATTCACTTCATCTTTGGCACTTTCAAAAAGTTGGACAACTACCCCAAAATCATAATTACATTTTCCTTTCTGTATTTTTCTGCCTCTATAGTTAGGCTTCCCAAACAGCTACATTTTAATCAAGTTACCCTGGATTTTTAAAACCTCACTGTAGAAAGGAGAAAAAAAAAAAAAGACTTTAGGCACATGCAGTAACATCCTTAACTCTAGCCAAAAAGGTCTTTCCGACCAGCTTGGTAGAACAGCGCCAGTTCAGGAAGCTCCATTAACTTGCACAGCCCAGCCAGTCAAGGGCTCTGTTTACGCGACTAGCCACACTTCTTTGTTGATAGTTTGCAAAACCTAGGGAATGATTATCAGGGTTGTGGCTAGATGGGAATGGATTGGAAAGAAAAAAAGGCGGGTGAGCTTACATGAAAGATAAATCCAAACACAAGTACTATGGGAATCCTTCCTTCCTCTGAGCCGAAGGGGGGAACGTTTCGGAGGGGGGCGTTAGGAATGAAATCTACTACTGTGGCCGGAGAAAAGGCTGCATGCCCTCCAGGCAGGAAAGGGATAAGGAGCAGAGGGCTTCAGGACTGATGGGTGTTCGCCTACAGTTCCGGCCTCTAGTTTCAGCTGATAGACAAAAGGAACTCCGGGATTCCCAGCGACGGGAACCACCTTTGGTTTCAACAGCCCCAAGGAGCCACAGGGGGGCCACCTTGGAGAGGCCACGGACGGAGGTGCAGCCTCCACACCGAGGTCTTCCTTCCAGAAGGCTGGGAACGCCTCGACACCCCGCCCCGCCCCGAGATCGGGGTGTGTCTTTTGAAGGGGGAGGGGGTGCCCGACGTCCTTGCCAATCCTTGAGGAGGGGTCGCCTCCGGTCGGCGTCCAGCTCCGCGCCCCTACCCCGGGCGCCGCTCCCGCCCCCGCCCGGCCCGCGGCGGAACGACGGGAGAAGTCGGATCTGGGGCCGGAGGCTGGACAGGGTGGCTGGGTGGGTGGGTCAGGTCGTAGCCCCAGGCACATGCCCCCAAGAATCCGACCTGAGCGTGGGGCCTCGCTTCCACCGCCGCCGCCGCCGCCGCCGCCGCCGAAGACTCTCAGCTTCAGACACTTGCTTCGCTGAGAAGCCGCCGCCGCCGCCAGCGCTCCCCAGACTCCAACTGCAGCCGCTTCCTCCGCCCGGCCCGGAGCACGCTCCGGGTTCCAGATCCTCCTCTTGGCCCCCGGCAACTGCCAGTTCCAGCTGCCCCAGCAGCCTTGGCTGTGCTCCTCCCAACCCCCAATGGTCAACCGCCGCCGCCGCCGCCGCAGCCGCCGTCGTCAGGGCAGTGACTGTCTCAGGCAGCCCCGGACCGGGCGGCTCCGCCCCGCCCAGCAGCCCCGCCCCTCGGCACAAGCCCCTCCCCTCTCGGCCGCCAGGCCTTTCTTCGGCCGCCGGCTCCGCCCCCTTGCCTCGCCCCTCCCCCACCGCGCCGTCCAGTCGCCGCCCGTGCCTGGGCGTGTGCAGCCGCCTGGGACCCGCTGCCTACGCCGCGGGGAGTTCTTCTGGGGGCGGCCTCGGGGCTCCGCCTTCCTCGGGGACGGGGCGGAGAAGGGGGCGGGGTGTGCGTTCTCGCGTACCCGAGCTCACGCGAGTCGCTGCCCCCCCTTCACCACTCGGCCCTGAGCCTTCCTTTGTCTTCCAGGCTGAGGGACTCCGCTGGCTTTGGGGGCCGTGTCCGATGCTAGGAGGGGCAGTTGAGCTGGGAGAGTTGCCCCTTGCCACTCCCTTAACCCTCTTGTCCCCAAAGGCCACTCCAGGCCCGTTGTATTCCTCAGTCATCCGGGTCCCCTTTCAATCTATTAAATTCCGGTGATGCTTTAACTTTCTCAGTCTGGGGCTAAGAGAAGCAAGTAATGACCAGGTAGAAGGTTGTAAAACTAAAAATCGTAGGGGTGTGGGGCGATGTTCCCACCTGCCTCATGTTAAGGACATGGCCAGATGGAGGTTGAAAGCAATCACGATTGGGTCTCAGGCCCCTGCCCTTCTGGACCGATTGATTACCCACAGAGGCCACTATATGAGAAAAAGACCATGGTCGAGGTCAGAATGCAGAATAACATGAACTGCCCTAGAGGACCTGACCACAGGGCAGTTACTTTTGAACTAGACAAGCCAGTTGTTTGCATTCACGTGGACCTGGATTAGATTCCAAATTTCTGCTGGGAAAGTACTGTCAACTGATGGAGTAGGAAATGTATCTTTATTATTTTATTATTTATGCTAAAACCATGAGCTTTCCTCCCATTCTCCATTAATTTAAATGTGCTTATTTCTTAAATGTTGAGCCAGTCTTCCATCTGTTTTTAGGAATTCCAAAGTTTAGCTCTCACTCTTAACTAGAAAAATGGATTGTGCTTGTGCTTACTCTTCCATTCTGTTTATTCCCTGGCTATCCATGGCATTTGAGGTTTGTTGATCTTAATCTTTAACTTTAACACATTTGTTGCAAATTCTGAGGTTCTTTTCCAAAACACAAGCAAAAAAGGCAGAAGAGTATAAATCCTCAAGAATTAGAGTGATGAAAATTGATTTTTAAAAAGATACAATTTTGATATTAGTTTGCTTAAGCAGTTTAATTACCACTTAACTTGTTTGCCATACATTATTGTCATTGGAAAAGTTGACTCCTTCAGTTTCATAGTTGTAAAATTATATGCTTAGAGAAAATTTTAAATAAGAGATATGTACATCGTTTAATCATTTCCGTTAAACTATTTGCTAATACAATAATTAAAATAATTTCTGCCCAATAGGGAGAGAAGTTACAGAAACTTTTGATTTAGTGAGCCTATTTTTTTTTAAGGTAACTAACCATCATGGAATGCTGTTCTAAATAACTTCAGCAATAACTAAGCTGTAATTAATCTTCAGACCCATTTAGAATTTTTTTTACTTTAAAGTTTATTTCACGTTTCATTTTTATGGCTTTTTGCTTTCCCTAATAGAAAAACTTATGAAAAGCAGGGACTGTGCCCTTCACACCCCTGTAGGTATGTAGCAAGTTTCCTTGCATGTAAAGCATGTCTGTTCCTTTTTGTCACACTCACTTACTTAGAGACTTACTACAGGTATGGTGTTATGCTGGGCATAGTGCTAGGTTATAAAGATGGATGGACACAGATGGCAAAGGGAACTTGGGACTGCTCTAGCCATTTCTTTTCAGAATATCCATTTATCTCACCAGGTTTTGATATGAAGCAATGATGTTTTTTAAGCTCTTTCCAACTCCTCTCAGCCAAATTACTGTCTCTCTCACCAAAAGTCTGAAATCTCCACTGTTTAAAAAAAAAAAAAAAAGTCTGGCTTAGTGGGCCTATTTATTGACCAAACCAGGGCATTTTGAGAAAAGGAGACAATAAAAACAATTAAAATTGTATAATTCTTAGATATACTTATTTATTGACTGAAAACTTGGTTCTATTGTATTTGACAGATATTCTATTTAAACATTATTTTTCAAAAAATAACAATAAAATATATATTAAAACATAAATATATATTTACATACCAAATTTTACAAAACATCTTCTTACCAATTACCTGAAAGCTAAAAATGACATAGGGAGAGTATTTACGTATTTACTCTCAGTGCATTTTCACATACTTTAATCAATTTCTTAGCATATCTTCTCCACCATCAAGTACTGGTATTTTTCTAAAGAATGCATTTTCTTAAATATGATTTTCCTTATTTTTAATTTGTTCATAAAATTGCCTGAAATCTTCTTCACAGTTGCATAAATTTGAAATTATTGACACCTTCAACTAATGCTTCTCGGTGGACCATAATAATTCTAATTGAAAAATTTTCCTGTAAGTACTGAGGTACGTAGTAAGTTCAAAGCAAACTCTGATAAAGAAAATATATTCTTATAAAATACTTTCTAATTTCTTTTTTTCAGCTCAAATGTACAATTTTTTCAGCTCAAATCTTTTTTGAGGTGTGTGTTTTTTAAGAGTAACATCTTTCAACAAACATTTTTACAAAACAAAGCTCCTCTTATAAATTTTCTTTATATATGTTTATGTTCACAGTTTCAATTAAATTTAGATACTGCAAAATTATATGTCTTCTGATCTTTAACCCAATTCGGATACAAAATATAATTTTATCCAATTAAAAACAGCAGCTCCATCAAGATTCTCCCCACAAGTTGAGATATTCCAAAGCCCAATTATAAATTTGAAAACGGGGTCTTTTATAATATTTGTACTCTCATCAAGTAATACATTTAATTCCTTCTTTGATTGGTAGAGATGAATTTCAGTATCTTCCTCTTTGAAACCTTTGTTTTCGGTAATTACGAAACTTTAAAAATCTGCAGAAGACGAACACTTTGATTTTGGAGTTTCAGTGATTCTCAATGAAATGCTGTGAAAATTTAGAGGACTCATTTTAGTCCTCTAGTTTAACTAGTGTAGGTCACTCAGGTTTATTTACAGAGTAATTCATCTCTTTTAATTGAAGTAGAGTTGATTTACAATATTATATTAGTTTAGGTGTACAACATTCAATATTTTTATAGATTAGGCTTCATTTAAAGTTATCAGAACAATGGCTATATTTCCCTGTGCTGTACAGTATATCCTTGTTACTTATCTATTTTTTTACATAATAGTTTGTGACAAAGTAATTCTTTAAGTAGTTATCACTGGCAGTCTTTCAGATTATGTCACAAATTTAAAGAACGCTGTTCATTGTAAAATCATTCAGCCTACTTGATATATGCTCTATTACAGGGTGACTCAGCCTCTGTTTCATGTATTTCAGATATACCTTACCTTTAATTTTCCGCGTCTGCCACTGATTCTCAGAAGTGGCAGCCTGGTGAGTTCATGCATGTCAAAGGCAGCAGCAGCAGGCCAGGTCACACCTGACTAGCACACCAAGTACCTGGTAGGATCAGCAAGCTTGAGAGTTTCACTGACTACTACCAAGACCAGGAGTTGGCTATACCTAGCCTCTCATATCAAGCTGAATTTTGTTTTTTCAGCTAGTATCCTGCACACTATCCTTGAGAGGAAGGGGTTAGTTACTTTGCATCTGGAAAGAGTCCGGAAAAGAGTTATTGCTGGCAGTCTTTCAGATTTCCCTGCGAATTTAAAGAACTCTGTTCATTGCTAATGTATCTCACACACTATGAAACACGACCATGGTAGAAGCTGGAAATAAATATGAAGGAAGGTCTACTAAACCTATTCCAGATTATTTTAGTACTACTAATAGTAACAGTGCTTGGTTTACACAAACATGCACAAGTTATGTTAGTTATGTTAATTGGACTTGATGTGGTCCTCGACTATAGAAAGCCTTTGATTGACAAAGTAAGCATAATGATAGGAACATCCAGCTGTGGCTGCCCTCTTAAATACCCTTTTTAAAAGAATGCTTATTTAAGCCTTACATGTTAAAATTACTGTTGCCAGCTGTATTTGTTCCTGTTCTTGAAGACAAGCCTAAAAAGAGTTTTTTACTTACAAAATGTGTAAGGTATAGGCCTTTCTTTCAAAGAATTAAACAAACTCCAAAATAAGATCTATTTTGCAGAATTACCAGCCAAGGGGAATTCAGACACACTAGCTGTGGTTACTGAGTAGCTGCTTACAAGGCTCCACCTTATCTACAAGCTTTTAGAACAAAAACTCTCAATAGACTCCAAAATTACACCTACGGTACACATGGCAGAATGAATCCGGAATTCATCTTCTGGTCCACCTCTCAAATACAGCAAGGAATTTAAAGAAGCAAATTAGGATCCTCTAAAATATGTCCCTCCAATGGATGCTTATAATTGCATTTTCCTACTTTTTCTTCTATAAGCCCATACGCAACCACAGAGTCGCCATCATCCTTTTATCAAATCTTTCATCCTAATAAAGGTCATTCATGTAGTAGTTTCTGAACCTCATTTTAAACATATGAGGACAATCGAAACTGATTTAGCAATATTACCTTCCTGACTCCTATGTCACATGGTTATATGTAAAAAATAGCAATAATTAGATATAATTATAGTAACTTGAAACTAATGCTAAATGTCATCGATCAAAGCAGACTTGCATAACTTTATTATGTCCACTATGCATTCTTTGACCAAATTACAGTGAAATATTAATATAATTAATCTCGATTTGCTGTACATAGTTATTAACTTGATAGGTTCCCAGATAAATGAGAGATATTATTGTCCTCAGTCTCTCTGCTCTTCTAGAAGCATTCCTTATTTTGTCTTTTTCCAGGTCTGTTACTCACTAGGCCAACATGCCTTGGTATTAGCAACCTCTGGGAGA